AGGGCCCACCCCTGCCTCCCTCCCTACAGCCCCCGGCGCGAGACACCCAACCTTTACAGCGCGCACGCTAACCTCAGGGCCGCGCGCCGGCCCCGCCCCCGCCGCCCGCGCCCATTGGCCGCCTGCTGCCACGCGCGGGCTCATGGGAGATGGAGTCCCCGCGTCGCCGCATGACCCGGCCGCCATCACAGCGATGGGTCAGGGATCGCGACGTGATCTGCGGTTAGGCGGGAGCGGCCATGTTGAAAGGGGCCGTCCTATTTCCCCATCCCGCCCAAGCCTCCGGACAGCATCCTGTGGTGATGCGGTGGCTTTGGCTTTGATGCGAGCCCGTGTTGCCCCGGGGGTGGCCGGTGGTGCTGGAGTCCGCGTGTCCCTCGCGGTGGGGCAGCGCCCTCCTCATGGGTGGATCTGGGTTTTTGGGAAGGAGGCTGGGGGTGATTTCATCCTCATAGGTAACACAGCACATATACGTCTCTACTTAAGAAAGACCTAGAAGCTTTACTGTGAGCTTGGGGCCCGAGGCTACAGGACAACCTTTCAGATCCAAGTGAAAAAATGGCATTGGAGTGTTCATTAATCGGTTATAATTTAATGTAAAAACACAACAAACCATGCAAAAATAACTAAAAGAAGTTTTGTTAGTCCTGTGGTCGTTAGAATTCAGTGTCCATCTCTTTCGCCAATTCATAAAACAAAATCTGGCCTTGACACTGCAGCCAGTGCTTCGCTGAAAGATGTTCTTCCACCCCAGTTAATATTCATAGATTTCTTAGACATTCGGGCTGGAAGGGACCTCGGAAGATCATCGAGTCCAGCCCCCTGCCCCAGGGGCAGGAAGTCAGCAGGGGTCAAAGGACTTAACATTCACCTGACTTAGAGTTCACCTGACTTAACATTTCCACACCTGAGTGTTTCTGGCTAGAGATGACAGAATGCAGGGCTGGCAAACAGGTGCTATGTGAGCAAGAGCACAGGAGGATCTAGAATTTTGCAAAGGCGGGTACCACGAACAACTGGTGCCTCCTGAGACGGGGGAGGGGGGCACCGTTTGTACGCAGCAGCGTCAGCAGCAAGCAGGGACCGCCCACAGACGCTGGTGGTGGTATTGGCAGTGGCGAATGGGGACTGGCTGCAGACATCAGCAATGGTGTCAGCGGCAGGGGGGAAGGGGGCGGTGAGTAGCCACCACCCACAGAAATTGGTGGCGACCAATCTTGTGGGGGGGCACATGTCCCAGTCTGTGTAACCTATGAGACTACTGCTGGTGAGGTGCATCATCACATAGAAAACAACACATATTTTTCTCCTGCTAAAAATAAACTGGAAGCTTTACTAATATGCCAGGGGCCTAGGGCTGTATTATTCAGTTTAAGATTGAAGTAAAAACAAATATATTTTTTATTGGAATAAGTTAAAAACAATCTGCAGCGTGGTGGAATAGGAGGTTCATGACCAGGAGCAGCTAGCAGACAGCCGCATTGCAGAACAAAGATAGCTTGATTGGTGGAATATCAAAACTATTAAAAAGAAGAGAGGGTGGTTAACACCTGTGGAATGAAGAGTTTAGAAGGGATCATGATAGATAATAATAAGCCTTGAAGTCAATTGATCCCCACAGCACCGCCTGACTAGAAATGCTAATGCCAATGCCACTGCCAGGCAGTTGGTTTTAAACTGTGGATGAACAAGTGAAAATGCACCAGCCTCCCCCCCCCGGACCACGAACAGCTTACTGACAGCAGAATACTTCAGTAGTGAAACCATTGTAGACCATAGGTACAATAGTAGACCATAGGTACGGAAACCGTTAGGATGAGGCTAACTGCTGTCAGTTAGCCTCATCCCAAATTGTCCAATCCCCTGGCACTGTGCCAAGCATTCCTTATATTGTGCACCAATCCCCTGGCACTGTGCCGGGCACATTCCTTATAAGGAAACTGTTCTACTTGGCTCACCTAACATACCAATCACAGTACTCACATCTCCCAGTGCCACAGAAGGTACTCTGTTCAATTTTATTTCTTAGTTCTGGGAAGGCCTGGACTATGGCTAAGAGTCTTAGCACAACTCAGTTTTCCCTGTAACTACACTTGCCTCCTTGATGCCCTGAAATACAATGGCATCACACAGACATTGGTTGGCCTCTTGCATGTGACTCAAGGCATGCGGATTGCTACTGCATCTGAGACATGGATCTTCTCATGAGCAGGTCACCATGCCCTGTGTGCAGTTACTTTTCAGAGAGTTTCGGGAGACAGCCTTCAACTCTTCCTTGCTCTAGCTTCAAACTTGGCCAAGAGCTTTCCCACATGGCAAATGAGCACACACTCAATGACCGATAACAGGGGCTCCAGAACTAAGATCACCATAAGGGGGTGTAAGGCCACATTAAGAATGTAGGTCATAGTAGGTGACCAGCTCAACCAGGTTTTCCACCAATGATGTTGAGTGGCTTCTTGAATATCTTGCAGGACTGAAATAGTGTCTTTTGATTTTTGAATCACAACAGAGGTCCTATTAGCTGTGTTCTGGACCTCCTTGACTTTTTGTTGTACGGTCAGATCTTGTATGGCCAGGAGTAAATCATCAGGTGCCATTCCTAACTGTATTTTATTAAAGTCCTTTTCATTAAACATTTTGACACTTCAGTTGGTTGGTTGGTTGTTAATGTACCAATAGTTGGGTATAATTAAAATCACTTCAATAACATTTTACAAACACAGCCAATGCATAGCACAACTAAGCTTGATTTTTTTATATATATTAAGCAAACCTCTTAATGCTTCAGTGGTGGCCCACGTTCTGCAAAACACAGACAAAAAATGGGAGGGGCTTAACCCCCTTTAGGTTAGTTCATGTCATGGAATCACTTTTGACATTGTATCTGGCTTTGCCCTGGCCTTTCTGGAACTCATCCAAAGATCCCCTCCTACCTCCTTGTGGAGGCTGCTTTTTAGCATTTTTTTTCTTCAGGTACTCCAAGGTGCACCCTGCCACACATCTTCCCTCCTTGGCTTTCATCAAGGGTTTTTCTGGCAGGATATGCTCCCCCTAGCCTTTTCCTATTAAAGGGTATCCCACAAGGCAGTGGGAGCCAGGGTTTTCAGGCACCCTGTACTTGCCCTTTCCTGGGGTGGCAACATGTGGCATTTTGTAGATACTATCCTGCCACAAGTAGCTCCACCTGTTGAACTTAAAAGTGTGTTTTTAAACCTAGTGCTATAAAAGTGACACGACACTTGGTTGATAAATAGCAGAAAGGCTTGCTTTAATAACTACCAACAAGTTACAAAACTAAATAACAGAAGAACTCTTTCGCAATATAAAATGAGCTATTAGTTCTTGTATTATTTTAACTGCAAAGAGATCTGTACCCTATGCAGGCAGACAGCAGTTCTTGTATAGTCTCACAGTGTGGATCCTTCACTTGTCAGCTGGGTGGCAGGATAGCTTCTTGAGCTTTCCTGGACTGCACATACCTTGCTGGAAAATCTGCTTAGTTCTTATACTGTTAGATTGTATAGCTTCAAAGCATTTTTTCTTGATAGCTGACTGATTAACAGGGAGGAAAAGGGTGACCCTCATATCACAATTGTTAAATTGCCTGGCTCCTGTTTTTGGATTTGTCTAGGTGTGAAGACTTGTGTTTTTTGCAGCCACTGCAGTTATAGGTCAATTACATGTGACAGGTCTTGAGTGGTCAAACAGGATGCTTAAACGCATTAGTTACCAGATCTGTCTTTGGGTACTTGTTTATGAGTGGGGCAAATTTGCAATAGCTTGAACTGGTGGTGGTCTGTTTACAAAATTCCAGACATACATTGAATGATTGAGACATTTGTAGCACCTTAGACGTTGGATGCCTGTTTTGAGAAATGTGAGGATGTCACGTACAGGACATCTTTCCTGTATTCAATACACCTTTTACAGGCTTTGCTTGAAATGTATATTTAGTCTTTCGTTTTCTTTAGTTGCTAGTTCAGTTGAAATGTATATGTAGTTTCCTTTCCTTATTTAGTTACACTGGCTCAGCCTCTTTCTCTCTGGCTTTCTCTGCTTGGAGATACACATGTGATAAGTGTATCATGCCTCTGCCAACACCTTTAACCATCACTTTTATTATTTTATGGCATGGGTCTGGTATTGGGTACCTCAAGCTCCACTGTCTTGTACCTAAGGAGTTGCAAGCCATTATCAGAGTTTGATTTTCTTGTGGCAGTCTTGTCACCACAACCCAGTCTTGCCCCAGCCATTGTCTTGCATTTTTGTGCAAGAGACACTGTCTAAACTTCCATAGTTTTTCATAGCCAGCACAGCACATTAACTAGTCCCAAGGGGGTGTAGTTTTCAGGTCTTACCTAGGACCAATCTCCAGGCTGTCCTGACCTAGTCATCTTCACCCTTCATGGGGACAGTCTTTCACTTTCAGGCTTTTTGGCCCCTCCTCAGACTAGTTGAGATCTCAGGCTCCCAGCTTTTGCAGTCTTAGCAGTGGTCTTTTTCAACCTTTTCACCTCTCATTAGATCTTTCTTTTTCCAGCAGTTCTTTGAAGTCCCCACACTGTCTTGACAGGCCCCTCTTCAAATCACAGAACATATTATGGGTCCATATACATTTAGAGCTTCTTGCCATCACCAAGATTGTGTTTGACATTTACCATAGAACCTGTATGCCTTTCCAGATGGGATATGTAACACCAAGGGGGTTCTCTCCCATATGCTGGCCAATTTATAATAAATACATTCTTTAATAATTTGGATTGCAACAGGCAGACCTACCTTTCAATCTGCCATGGCTACCCAGATGACACT